TGCTGCATTTTCCGGTGCGTGGATCGAGATCTTTTTGGCACCAGCGGCCATCTGTTTTTCGAGAAATGGGCCCTTGCCGATTTTGGTGACTTTCGAGCCCTTTCGGTGACTTTGAGCTCTCTGATAAGGCCCATTGTCAGCGATCATGTGTCACTGCCGTATATTACCATTTGCAACGTACACTGGTCAAAGATTTTAGTCTTAAACCATTGAGGTATTTGGGATGAGAAGGTTTTGCGCAACTTTCCAAACGCTAACAATTTCAATTAGATTCGACGATAAATTTCTTGCTAGAAGTTAGACCTACCTAGTTAGACAGTTGTAAGAAACCGTCAATTAATTATTAAGCATCTGCATCATAATGTGGCGTATCAGGGCCGTGAGCTAGTTTACCGATCGAGCGCAGTAAAAATCTCATTTCTCACTGTGAGCTGTAACATGTTAGGTGAGGTAAGAAAGATTCTGCTTACGCTGAACATTTGTAATGAATAGTTTTAAATATTTTTCTTCTTCTTCTTCCAGTGCCTCTTCAATCCTGAAGGTTGGCCGTTAGCTTCCTGTATTCCTTTCTGTTCGACGGAGGCAATACCGGTCCACTCCCGGATATTCCGGAGCCATGACTTTTTTCTTCGCCCAGCACGTCTTTTTCCGTCCACTATTTATAAATATTTTTAGTAGAGGCAATGGCCCTCCAATCTAAAAGTACCATCTAAAACTACTTCATTGAATACAATTATGAAATACATAGCGATTGACGTGAAAATCAAGAGGTCAATTTGGGGGTCGCACCAACACACCTCCCACTAGCAAATCGAAAATTTTCAATCTTGTACTAAAATTAAATTTTGTTATGAAACTGCGCACATTTTTTTAAATAATGCAGAAAAAATGTGTAGAATAGGCTAGATCAGAATGAATAAGCTCCAAAGTTTGGAGCAGCCGTCGTACTAAAAAACTGAGACTTAAAACTCAGGTCTCAAGGTGGGTGGCGGCTAAAAGCAGTCGTTAGCCTTAGGCAGCAACCTGAGCATACACTTGACTTTGATGATATTCATGAGGACGGAGGTCTTTTAGTGTCTGTTTGTTTATAAATGGTCGCTGCTCGCTTGGATCTTCCCGATCTTTGAACACATCGCGTGTTACGAGTACACCGAGTGATCTTATCATTCAGGCCACGAAAACTTTGAAAATTTTCGACGACTTCCATCAAGGATCTATAATAATAAATAAGCCTTTATTGCAGTTTTACTTAATAATAACTTAAATTTAAATCCAACTTATCTTTAAGTATTCCGTTCGACGTCGGTGTGGTTTTCGAAACAGCTTGTCTTTCGACAAAGGGGAACCCTTTATTCTCTATTTCCAATATTCTCTATTTCCAATGTTTTCTATTTCCTATATACTCTATTTTTGTCCATTCAACTCCTATGGCGGCCGGATATACTCTTTATTTCAATTTCCCAACGTTTTCGTTGCTTTCCTTTTCATCTACAGCCGTCCCGTAGGTACCACTCTGTAATTATTTTGGTCCATTTCTCGTATTTCTCTATTAAGATGTGATCTATCCTTATTCACTTCAGTGTACTACTTTTTTTTTTCAACCAAGGATCTATGTATGAATAATTTCTTTCCTATTGTATTTGCAAGAAAAATAATCACATTGGCGTCATAAAAACGAGGCAATGTTTTTTTATAACTTTGCCATTTAAAACGAAAATATAATGAGCGGCCCTCGCGTGCGTAATAATGGCTTCTCCGAATTTAATTCCAGAATCACACGGGGACAGAATATTGCGATTTCATGAACTTTTGCGAAATATCTTGACGCCGCTGTCATAGCCCAAGAGCCCGCGACGGCCAGACCTTCGTTATTTTATAAAACCCGCGGGTCGTTCTTACCTGTGTTGGGGACATACACAGAGAAACTTTCAGCTTTTATAAAATAACGAAGGTCTGGCCGTCGCGGGCTCTTGGTCTATCAGTTATTGCTAAATATTTTACGAAATACAATGTAATTGTCGCGAGCTATGTCAAGGGCGCCTTCTTTTTAATTAATACCTACTGTAATTATCTTTACATTTGGTTTCATTCGTTTTTTTTTAACCAGCACACCTTTTTTTTTTTTTTTTTCCTACCTAAGCTGATAGCCTTAGGGGCTATTTCAGCGTAACCCTAACGTTTGTAGGTGAGCTCACAGGGCTCAAACCTGATGACGTTGCTAACACGAACCCTAGCAAGAGCCGTGCTTCGCAGAATCTACCAGCGGATCGGAAACGCGACCCACTGAGAAGATCCGGCGAGAAACTCAGTGGGCTGTCTGTGTCTGAGAGTTAATTTACTCGTCGAGCCCTTCGTCGCAAGCGACGGGTTCGACGAGAACGGTGACCGCCAGCATACCAGGAACCTGCCTGTTTCTATCACGAAGCAGACGTGCGTTCTGTAAAACTTGGGTATCATATCTCAGAGTCGCTTAGAATAAATGCATCGGCAATAATCAAAACAGCTTAGTAAACTAGTTGACCATGACCCATCTGTGTGCTTAGTGAGTGAGTGAGTGAGTGAGTTCTTTAACGTTCTCGATCGCGTCAAAGTTAACTCAAATTTATATGGAGTTGGACAGCGCTGCTTCGTTTGCCGCTAAGGGCGCTGTTCCAACACCATACAAATTTGACTTAACTTTGACGCGCTAAAAGCTCGTACTAAGCACACTGGTGTTATGTTTGGAGTCCATGGATATGACATAAATATTTAAATGTAAATTGTGTATATATGTATACATTGTATGAGAGTATTGTAGACGTAATCGTAAATCGAATCTAATCGATAGTCACAGTTGTTAGAGCTTGAAATAAACTACATCTGGCGTCCACCCGTGACCCGCATAGCATTGATTGATAGAATTTTAATGAAAAGTCTGTTATGGGAATCAGAGACAGTTTTTTTTTGTTGCGTTTTTCGGCAAACGAGCATACGGCCCACCTGATGGTGAGTGGTTACCGTCACCCATGGACTTCAGCAATGCCCTAGGGGCAGAGCCAAGCCATTGCCTACGAACATGATGGTAACAAAAAGATTCTTTTTATGATTGAAGATTTACTGGTGGCCCGGAGGCCTTTCCAGTTACACCAGGACAGGTGGGCGAGCAAAGGCTCAGCCAGGAGGAGTGGGATTTGCTAACAGCCGCCCGAGCGCCTCCGAAGGACACCTAACAACTCGAGAGCAGCTGCTTCGCGGATGAATCTACTACCGGATCGAAATCGCGATCCCCTGAGAAGGTTCGGCGAGAAACTCAGCGGGCTAATGCATGGTTTAGGTTGCACGTCGAACTATTTGTCGAGTTCGACGAGTACGGTTAGCGGGGTCCCTAAAGTGACTTCTAGTGTTATAGCTAAAGGCGTCTAATGCAAGGGTTATTGGCTCTGATGGATCCGTAAAGAGGTGTCTAGGGTCACACGTTTGATGGCCATCGTTGTCTTTAAAGTCCCGCTCGTAAGAGACTTACTATACGTTGTTCGGAATCGCTGGGTCTACGCAAAGACCGTGCTCCCGTGAGTTTTGTTGTGTATGTTCGATGAGGTGTTCACAGAGGAATTCTTTAAAATGCTTCCGTCGTCTCTTTTTAATCATCGCACCAGCAACCGCCGCAACAGGGTTATTTCTTCCAACCCAGATCAACCGTGATCGATCGATGGATAACGGTGACCGCTCACTATCATATGGGCCATATGTTCATCTGCCCTCTACATCGACGGCAATATAACCGTAAACTTTCAAATCTGGAATTCTGGTAGTTTCTTAGCGCCAATTAAGCCGTTAAATGTCTTAATTATAATACAGAGAGCATAATTACTTTAGATGTGATAAAAACGCAACATGAATAATCACAACTTTATTCATATTCGAAAGACTTAAAGAATTTGATTCCTATTTTTCGTTTTTTATTTAATGCTAGTAGTTATTTTTTGTTATTACTAACTGTTACCCGCCGTTTGGCTCGCGTGGTCAAGAAAGATTGTCAATGTAGTTTCCCGTGGGAAACTGGTGGTAGGACCTCTTGTGAGTTCGCGCGGGTAGGTATCACCACGCCTATTTCTGCCGTGAAGCAGTAATGCGTTTCGGTTTGAAGGGTGGGGCAGCCGTTGTAACTATAGTGAGATCTTAGAACTTATATCTCAAAGTGGGTGGCGCATTTACGTTGTAGATATCTATGGGCTCCAGTAACCCTTAACACCAGGTGGGCTGTGAGCTCGTCCAACCATCTAAGCTATAAAAAATTAAAAAGAATTAAATGGTTTTTCGGGATCCATGTCACACTTCTAACTTAAAAGTATCAATTTTAAAGAAATCATTTCAATCCGGTCCTTGGTTTCGACGTGACAGAAGAACAAACAAACAAACACACTTTCACATTTATAAAATTAGTATGGATATAGATAGTACCTACCAACTACTACTATACTTGTAGTTCACAACATTATTTCAATTATTTATCGGCACAAATAGCCATCTAATGAATTTTCCAATTACTTGTATATTTCATATTAATAGTGACATTACTTAATGCCTTATTACAAAGTTTGATTGAATGGTTCGACCTCATAACTTATATCGGGCATCGCCATTTATGTAACCGCACAATGGTCCATTGAGGCGACCATATGGCAACGACAAACGATTCCGTCCTTGGCAGACTTTGACGATTTCATCGCTTCATTGGTCAAACGGTGCTTTAGTGTTCAATTTTCGCTTGTCACAAGGCTAAGTTATCGCTTCGGTCAGTGGATTCGCACAATGAAAACACTCCATGCCGCATTTAGTACATCGAATCTAGCGTCGTATGAATCACCACGACCGCCTCGTTAATTTGCCTTTATGTCTACCACAATTTTTTTACGATCATTCTTTTATGGTTCAATTAATTAATGTTCTCTCTGCACTGTAGATTTGTAAGATAATAATTTTTATTTTTATTCCCATTAATACGGTTACGGTTATTTCAGTCCACATGTATCACCGGAAACGCCGAATCCGTCTACATCAAACCTTCAAAACACGACCGAGATAGAAAAGGACAGCATGAGACAAAATTATGACGAAGCTACAACAAATGATAATGACAACGACAAGGATGGTTCCATATCTGACTGGGTTTCGGGGGGTCCGTTCGGCTCGAAAGGAGCGGTACTGGTCTTCCGATCATGTGTCCTAGCCTCCAGAACTCCTTCAATGGAGTCTACCACGAAAACCGTTGGTAACAACACTGGAACGTCTATCTTATTGAATAAGGCCAAGAATATGGCGAGGAGACTGGTCGCAGAGCCCCATTCGTTTAGCGTTAGACCTAAGAATGTAATGCACGATGTTATGGAGACTTTTGGGAATAGCAATAAATACACAGGACAAGCAATAGTAGTGAGACACGTTAGTGAAGCGGAATTACCTAAGACTGAGTCGGTGGCGGAGCAAGGACACGAACCGGCCGAACACAAACGGGACATCCAGGACGTTTTAAACGATTTAAGCAAGATCACTCTGAAGAAACATCTGAATATCGAGAACACGACAGCACAGATAAAGCCACCTGAAGACCCTCCACCGAAAGGTAAGACCTTAGATTTTCATTAAGTGAGTATTACATTTATGAATTGAAAATTTCTTTAGCCGCGTTGAGCACTTTTTGGTAAGGGAAAATCTTATGGGTTCGCGTCACCGACATGCTAATTATTCGATATTGATTCTACCACGTCATATAATTCTTATTTTTCCTACCTACTGCTAGTAACCTCAAGGGGTTATACTAGCTTCACAGAACGTATAGACGAAATCACGGGGCACAATCTGGGAGATTTTGCTAACATCTATTCTGTCCTAGGAAAAGCAGTGCTTTACAGAGTCTACCACCGGATCGGAAACGCGACCCACTGAGAATATCCGGCGAGAAACTCAGAGGGCTGTTTCTGTGGGTTATATTAACAAATCCAAAACTCACTTAATCCTTTCTTGGCGAGTGATAGGCACTATTAGCAGTGTTAGGCCAGAGTATTACACCCTTCGACTAGTAAAGGCACTATTAAAGACTTGGCCGGTTTCAATACCCGATATCTCTGTCAAGCAATTTTAGGTGGGATGTCAATTTCAATAAGCATCAATGCATGATACTAAAACAACTGCAGATGATGATGATAAGAAGTCGAAAAAGATCAGAGCGAAAAGCAAACGCAAGACTCAGATACAGCGCTCCGTGTCGCCGGTGCTGGAGAGTGAGGACTCCGAACATTTGCTAGTCAAAGACGTCGACAGTATCAAGGTTCGTGAATTGCTGTATTAATTTATGACGAAGTTACCTCTAATCGAATTGTCCAGCCTTTATTTTAATACAAAATTCATTGAGTCACCCACCCAATTTTACTCTGAATGTTTTGCGTCTTGTAAATCTTTTAAAGCCGTTTTTAGATTACTTTGGAATGTGACTGTGGGGCGTACTGACAATAGCGGTTCTCGTGCCATTACAGGTCACACCTTCCGAGAGTAAATACGACAGATTTTTTAACAGATTTACATTTATAATATTTACAATCAGTTAGTGGTAACAACATATTTTTGTAAAGTTTATTAACAGTTCTTGTAATAAAGAAATCGTGTTCGTATTTATTTTTTACTGACGTCTTCGCCTATATTGCACGCAATGGAAGTCGATGCAATGGCGGGAAAGAACTTTCCATTCTTTTAAAACAAAATTTTGTCAGTAGGGACATCAAAAATGATATATTTGTGCGTTTGCCTTTCCCTATTTATATATAGATGAATGATAGAACTCATTTGGCCAGCAGCTCAGCTGCGTGACCGTTCCCAATAGCACCCTATACAAACCAAACCCAGTTACAATTTCCAGGTATTAGAAAGCACCCACATGCCGGCCCGTCTCCTCAAGATAACCTACAAGCTGGTCAACACGGAGACCAAACTCCTGCAGAGGCTACTACAGGCCCACGGACTGCAGGAGACGACTATAGACTCCAAAGACTTCAATCTATTGTGGTCGGGCTTGCATCCCAAACCTGACGTGCTACGGTCTTTGTCGCCATACCAAAGGGTGAACCATTTTCCTAGGTGAGGGTAGCTACGTTTTTGCGTGTTTAGCTAGGTATGCAACGCTGTTTCGCTCGTGATCAGTGTGTAATAAAAGAATATTGCCATTATACCCTCAGTCTCCGTAAACGACAAACCAAATTACTCATAAACTCCAGTATAGGTAAAGCTTTAAAAATTACGTATATTGTGAAATTACCGGCGCGCCACCTGTCGATCAAATACATATATTTATTACAATTTTGTTATTTTTCTATACTACACTATAAAGCATAATTTGCATAATTGCTTATGCATACATAATACACATGAGTGTCGTGGCCAGTGTTTGGAACGACTCTCACCGCATGTGTATATAGCACGTTGAGGTACACGTGAATATATTACTGACGTTACTACGTGATTTACTGGTGCCAGGACCTCATGTGAGTCCGCACGGGTAGGTACCACTGCCCTGCCTATTTCTGCCGTGAAGCAGATGTCTCCCTTTAGATGTCCTATATAATATGTCTCTTTTTAGTGTCATTTTCGTTTCACCGAAATTCAAATCGGAACGTTACTACAAAAAAGTGACTTTTTACTTTGGATTTGCGTAATTTATGGTATTGTAGGTATGGTATGGTATGGTAGGAGCTCCACCCGGATAAGTACCGACTAATATCCTGTCGATCGCTAAGCAATCATGCCTACCAGTTTATATGGTAGGGAAGGTCCTTATCTGATAATCTTAGAAGGGAACAACACAAAAACTAATTTATCTAAACTTATAACTGTAGGAATGTAGGTATTTTTGCTCGCGTTGTATTTTTATTTATTTATTGCTTAGCTGGGTGGACGAATTCACAGCCCACCTAGTGTTAAGTGGTTACTGTAGCCCATAGACATCTACAACCTAAATGCCCCACCCACCTTGAAATATAAGTCGTAAGATCTCAGTATAGTTACAACCGCTGCCCCACCTTTCAAACCGAAACGCATTGCTGCTTCACGGCTGAAATAAGCAGGGTGGTGGTACCTACCCGCGCGGCCTCACAAGAGGTCTTACCACCAGTAAAAACTTGGAAACTAATAATTTTAACTGTAACTTGAATGCGTTACGTCACAACACCCTGTATATACCCTGGCGGTAGGAGCTATTGTGAACTTCGCAGAATCTACCACCAAGATCGGAAACGCGACCCACTGAGAAGATCCGGCGAGAAACTCAGTGGGCTGTGTCTGTGGGTTAATTCTCTCGTCGAGCCCTTCGTCGCAAGTGACGATGACCGGTGTATGATAGCGTTAAACGTTTAACGCAACCTTGTTAGAAGTCGCATCAGAAGTTTCACTTCAAAAAATTCCCCTTTTTATTTAGGTCGTACGAGTTGACCCGCAAAGACAAGCTGTTCAAGAACATCGAGAAGATGCAGTACTTCCGCGGCCTGAAGCACTTCGACTTCATACCGACCACGTTCCTTATGCCGGCGGAGTACAAGGAGCTTTGCACCACGCACTACAGGACCAAGGGACCCTGGATCGTGAAGCCGGCTGCCTCCAGCCGAGGTCGCGGCATTTACATCGTCAACACGGTGCGCTCTTAAACGACTTTCAATGATAACTCACAAGGCTATTATAGATTTTTTTTAAAAAGAGCCATCATCTTTGATGGAGGTTTCCTATGGCCACATTTCAGTTGTATAAGCGAACCTTGGACAGAAGTCTACAGTATTTGTCGAGATAAATCAATGAACTTAACATATGGTTATGGTAATTACGAAAATTCTTAGATCCACCTTCCGGCTATATCGGTCCAGATCAATCAAGGCATATTGAGCTTTCCCCCACCTATTTAGGGGATTTCCCTGACGCATTTTCATCTATAAATAGCTATGGTAGGTTTATAGGCTACCAAGATTCAATATAAACTCAAGATGATCATAGATTTGAACGTTTCAGCCAGAACAGATACCGAAGGGGGAAAACGTGGTGGTAGCGAAGTACATAGACAAGCCCCTCCTCATAGGGGGCCACAAGTGCGACCTCCGCCTGTACGTGTGCGTGACCTCGATGGACCCCCTACTCATTTACTTGTACGAGGAGGGCCTGGTCAGGTTCGCCGCCGTCAAGTACGACCACACCAACAAGAACCTGTGGAACCCGTGCATGCATCTCTGCAACTACAGCATCAATAAGTACCACACGGACTACATTAAGTGAGTTTCTCCCCTTCAAACTTTTTACTGGTGGTAGGACCTCGTGTGAGTCCGCGCGGGTAGGTACCACCACTTTGCCTATTTCAGCCGTAAAGCAGTTATGCGTTTCGGTTTGAAGGGCGGGGCAGTCGTTGTAACTATACTGAAACCTTAAAACTCATATCTCAAGGTGGGTGGCGCATTTACGTCGTAGATTTCTATGCGCTCCAGTAACCACTTAACACCAGGTGGGCTATGAGCTCGTCCACCCATCTAAGCAATAAAAAAAAAATCAACCCGAGTCCACCCAATGCTGAGTGTAGGTCTCCTCAAATGTAATTAGCGTTCCTCGTCCTTTGGGCCTTTATCTCATTACTGAGGGTCGTGACTCCCCGCTGCATCAACCTCTCCTGTACGATCGTTCTCCATCTGCTGCGATCCTTGGCCTCGTGGAGGGCGTCCTGGAGCTTGATGTTCAGACAAGACCGAATTTGGTCCGACCACGTCGTGCGACTGCGTCTTCTGGGACGTTTACCCTCTATCTTGCCCGTCACCATCAGCTGTTCAAGATTGTGACCCTCCTTTCGAGCGATTTGTCCAAAAACTCCAATGCTCTACGTATGCATATTGTGGAGAGTTTCCTTTTAACATTAAGCTTCTTCAGTATTGACACATTGTTGCGAAATGCAGTTCATGGAATCTGTAGGAATTTCCTCCAGCACCACATTTCGAAGACCGTCTCTGTCGCCCTTTTTCAGTGTCCAGGTCTCCGCTCCGTTAGTGAATATGGAGAAAACCAACGAATTCACCAACCTGAGTTTTGTTTCGGTATCTCCATATCTTATGCAGTTGAGACATTGCATTTTTGGCCATATCCCTATACGTCTCCTTATATCTTTTTCACGTGACCCTGAGTTATTAATGTTAGCCCCTAGGTAAATGAAGTTGGTAACGATTTCAAGGCACAGCATTCTCGTTAGTTCAAACACTCTTGGACAATTAGCGTTACAAGATTTTAATTTGCTAACTACTAAAGTTTATTTTATGATTTTTACTCTTCGAAGTTTCGGAATGATATTAAACCCAAAAATCGTAAAAGTAGTTTTGATAATGTGAAAGAAAATTTAGAAAGGCCATGACGGATCGTAAAGAATTATTAAATTCTGATAACATTAAATAATAGTCATCAGCCATTCATTCAATGGTTTGAGAGAATAAAATACTTTGAAGAATTAAAATGCGGCAACACCGAAAATAAATTGCAGATGCGACGACTTTTTGGCGGGAACGCGAGGAGTGAAGTTGTGTGATTTGTTTTATTTTGTCTATTTAGTGTTTCTTCAGGTTTAAATGTGTAATAACGGTGGTTTATTAACTGTTTCATATCTGTGAAAGTGCACAAATGTGGGAAAATGAAACAAAGCTGCTGGACGTAACTTCTCGGGATCCTCCAAAAAGTCCACTGAAAAAATCTCAGTAAATGACCACCATTTTACTGAGATTATAGTACATCCCATATCATTTCATTTCACTCCATATTATCATTTTTCATAAAATTAAGAATATAAATTAAAATAAGACATGACTTAAAGGTCTTAGTTACCAGGTCATAAAATCCCTTAAAAACAAAATACAGATGCGACGACCCGAACGCTGGCAACATCGGTCACAAGTGGACGCTGTCGGCGCTGCTCCGGCACCTGAGGAAGCAGGGCCGGAACACCACGGCGCTGATGGCCGCCATCGAGGACCTGGTCGTCAAGTCCATACTGTCCTCGGCGCAGACCATCACCGCGGCCGCCAGGGTCTTCGTTCCCAATCACTTTAACTGCTTCGGTACGTTATCTGTTCCTACCGTTCGAAAGCTCAGGTAGGACAGAGCAGATAAGCTCACTACCTAATGATAAGCTAATACACGTCATTTCGGATCCTCCCGATCCACTAACGGTGGTTTTAGGTACCTCAACCACCGGTCATTGTTCTCGGCGAGTAAATTAACCCATAGACAATGCCCACTGAGTTTCTCGCCGGATCTTCTCAGTTGGTCGCGTTTCCGATCCGGTGGTAGATTCTGCCAAGCACGGCTCTTGCTAATGTTCGTGTTAGCAACGTCGTCAGGCTTGAGCCCCGTGAGCGCACCTACTAGTTAAGGTTACACTCAAATAGCCTCTCAAGGCTATCAGCTTAGGTAGGAAAAAAANAAATTAACCCATAGACAATGCCCACTGAGTTTCTCGCCGGATCTTCTCAGTTGGTCGCGTTTCCGATCCGGTGGTAGATTCTGCCAAGCACGGCTCTTGCTAATGTTCGTGTTAGCAACGTCGTCAGGCTTGAGCCCCGTGAGCGCACCTACTAGTTAAGGTTACACTCAAATAGCCTCTCAAGGCTATCAGCTTAGGTAGGAAAAAAAGGTATGCTAAAGTAATAGAAATAATGGCTTAATGCAACTTCATTATGTGCGACGTCATTTGTGGCCAAAACACGGAGTTAACCGTAAATTATACACTAATACACATCGCTCACCCACATATGACGTCATACGTTGACGGTCGGCTGCCTACTGCATTAACACAATGGTTCAGTTGTTAAAATTGTCAAAAGTAGTTTGTCTAAGAACATACGTATGGTTTTTACTTTAGCGTCTTTTCAATTTCTACTATTTGAAGAGAAAATAAACCTATGTATTTATTTCTTCACGGCAGAAATAGGAAGGGTTGTGGTACCAACCTGTGCTGGCTCACAAGACATCCACTGCCATTATAATAGAGTTTTTATTGCCATTGCAGTCGAGCATACGACCATAGGACCTGATGGCAAATGGTCACCATTGCTAATGGCACCAGCAATTCGACCAGCCCCGACTGCTGCCTGCTGTGATATTATTATGTTTAATGTAATTTTGTCTCAGAACTCTTCGGCTACGACATCCTCATAGACGACGTGCTCAAGCCCTGGCTGCTGGAGATCAATCTGTCGCCCAGGTGAGATTTGGTAGGACATCTTGTGAGTCCGTGCGGGTAGGTACCACTGCCCTGCCTATTTCTGCCGTGAAGCAGTAATGCGTTTACGGTTTGAAGGGTGGAGCAGCCGCTGTAACTATACTAAGACCTTAGAACTTATATCTCAAGGTGGGTAGCGCATTTATGTTGTAGATGTCTATGGGCTCCAGTAACCACTTAACACCGACTGGGCTGTGAGCTCGTCCACCCATCTAAGCAATAAAAAAAATTTAAAAATTCCAATTTTATTGGTTGGAAGTGTATATAGCGTCTGTGTATGTACGTCTCGTTGTCCGCGGCGCGCAGCCTGGCGTGCGAGAGTCCGCTGGACGCGCGCGTGAAGTCAGCGCTGCTGGCGGACACGCTGACGCTGGTGGGGCTGCCCGCCGTGCCCGCGCCCGCCGACCGCAGCACCTCGCTCAAGATGAGGATCGGCGCCGTGAGTACACGCCACCTCTATGAAACGCCGACACTCAAAATGCTATGCTTTTTTTTTAAAAGTAATAAAAAAAAAATAAAAAAAAATTAATACTTTAAAACACAAGGACTAATAGAAAACTTAAACCGGACAAGACCCGCCTTCGGAAACAGGCTGTAGACAGCGGGTGTTGAAAAAATAATATCTTTCTACCTTTTTGCACTGCACGTAATGTAACACATTTGACTAAGACGAGCGAGGTCAATGACCCCACATGACTGAACTGCTTTAGATTGCGGCTTCACGAAATATGAGTCGTCTATTATCAAAAGTGGCAATCTGTGCATTTGGACAAAAAATTTTTATTGATATGTCAATACAGATTGATTTGAATATAATCGTCTCCTTCAAAGAATACGGTTCAAAACCTGCATTAAATAAAGGTTAATAGTTAAGCTGTTATTTATCTAAGATGTCGTTCCGAAGAGTTTTGTGACTGCCAATGGAATACAAAGTCAATAATTCGTTTTTCTGATTTACCAATCATTATCCAAAAGTCAGATTGCCGGCTTTGATAATAGTCGACTCATATGTACTATTAAAACTACATATAAGTATTTATACTTAATTTTCAACTGAATATTGTTGTCGAAACTAATTTTCAAATATCGAATATTTTATAAATGATTTCGCCAGTGTCGGCGCGTGCACTCGGCAGAGAACGTTTGCAACGGCAAGGGGACCGCCCCCGCCCCCGCCCCCACCCCCGCCGCCGCGGGCGCGCTCAGCGGGGAGGAGGCCCGGCTCGTCAGGGCCGTGAAGGCGCAGTACCAGCGCCGCGGCGGCTTCGTCAGGATCTTCCCGAGCCTCAACTCTTGGCAGAAGTATTCTCAGTACTTGGGTAAGTTGTCATATGTATACTGTTTTAGAACTGTGTCTGTAGACCTGCTTCAGAGAAGTATTGTCTAAAGCTTCGGCCATGTCGAGCCAAATTCTCGCACCTCGTTACAAAGTAAATACATTACATTTACATTTTACATTTATGTCCATAAGTGTCAATAATTTTCAGTGGTAGACTGTGGTACATTCTCGACTGCCTTTAGGACATCTAAAAATATTGTAGATAGCGTAATGATTAATAGATAAGGGTAATTGAATTTTGTCGCGGTGCAGATCCTGTGTCCGGTGTGCCGGTGTGCTCCACGTCCCTCCGGGGCGGCGGCGGGTACCCTGTGGTGTCCCACAATTACAACCTGGTGCTGCACGCGCACGCACTGCCACGCACCGCGCCCGCCGCCTGCCTCACGCACACGCCTGCACGGTACGTACACGGCGCCCGCCTCACGCACACGCCCGCACGGTACGTACAGTGCGTACTGCGGTTTAATGCGTTATTAACACTGTCCAATGAACAATTCCAGGTTAAAGCGTTACGAAGCGGTGAGCGTGACGTCCACGGCGCCGGCCATCAGGCTGTGCGAGCCGGCGCCGCCCCCGCAGCACGACGCGCGCCGCGCCAAGGAGCTGGTGCGGGAGCAGCTCGGCGCCGGGATGACGCTCACGTCAGTACACGCGCGGTGCGGCCCCGGGGCTCGGCACCGACCCGCGCGCCTCACCACACGCTCTGTTGTTGCAGTACGGGTGAGAGCCGTCGCTTGTTCGGCCTGTACTTGTCGCTGGTGCTCAAGAGGATCACGAGTGCTCACAGTTCTGCCGCGCGACACGCCGCACTCGTCCTGCGCTTCCTACGGCGAGCCTCGGCCGCGCTCCGGCTACCCTACCACGTACAGGTAGTCCTCCACCGCTTCCCATTCAGGATCAAATGCCATGGCGTCCAAATTGAAAACCGGCCATATTTTAATAAGTCTTACCTGCTCAGCTTAGTGTAAGCTTAATTGATAGTAAAGGAGACTGAAACGATTACATACATTTTTGGGCCCGAATGTAACGTGATGAAACTAATATGAATTAATAGATTCAGATTTATCAGTACCTTGCTGGAAATTATAAAAGTTTTCTCAATCTGAGAGCCGAGTTAATAAAATTTTTGTAAAAGGTAGGTTATGTTACAATCTCTTAAAAGAGCTGAATAATAACTTATTTAAGCATAAGTAAATGTTTATTATATCCATTGGATAATCTTTTAAATGTCATATTATGAATGAATATCAATGATATATATCAGGTATGGAATATGGAATTGCTATCCCACAATTCACACAGCGATCCATAATTTCAACAGTATCCAATGCAACAATTTCAAGTCAAACGTGTGAGCGAGCTTCGGTGTCCAGTGTAGAAGCAATTGTCGTACAAGGCTGGCAGAGTTGGAATCCGTAATAATAAAGCAATGATCGTTGAAAATATAAAAACAGCCCGATAGATACACACTCAAAATGCGTCGAAGATACAAAACGAGTAGAGCAGAAAAAACCAACAAGCGCCAAAAAATAATTGTATAATCTA